GCAGGGACTGTGTCTTTTTTTTTAAATAGTATTTTCTTGCGTTTTCAGTGATGGTTTATGTAGCAGTTTAGGTTCCTATTCAACAATTTGTAACACGCGTTGTTCAGTGACATTGGTTACATTCTTCACGATGCGTGACCGTTCTCATTATTTCCGTTCTGGTTGTTTCACCTCCATTAGTCTGGTTTTCCTGCCTCCCTTACGTTCTCATCTTTGTTTTAAAGTAATCGTTGACTATCTGGTCTCACATAGACGATTTTTTTTTTTTTTTTAAAGCACAGTACTTATGGGTGATATTCTTCATGTGGTGAACCAATCTGTTATTTAGCTAAAAGGTGACCTCAGGGGCTAGTTTCCGTTCAAGGCTTAAAGAGCAGAGTCCTCCAGTTTCAACCAGTCCAGTAAGTCTGGGTTTGTTTTTGTTTTTTTTAAGAATTTGAGGTTCTGTAGGGACTGTCTTCTTCATCTTGGAGTCTTTAGGGACAGGTATGAGGTGGGATTCCACAAATGTCTGTCTTTGATTCCACAGATGTCTTTGATGTTAGATGGTCACAGCCATTCAACTCCTCAGGATTAGCATATGTATTTCCTCATTTTTCTCCACACCTTCACTTTCTAGTTACCCTTTATCTTTCATTGCAAACCACTGTGAATTCTTTCTGGAAAGGAGGAATGGATAGATAAATGAAGCACATTTTATTGGAACTTTTTTTATTCCTCGCAGGTACTATCTTGGTCGTCGGATGTTCATAGTTATTTCTGAACCGGACATGATCAGACAGGTGTTGGTTGAGAACTTCAGTAACTTCAGCAACAGAATGGTACGTGGTTTTCTTTCTGCATATGGGTGGAGGGGTGGGGAGTTACTCGAGGGGAGGCGACTGTGCCTCTTACCTAGTTTAGATCTGCTCAAATCAAACCTGAGCTCCCCCATAAACTCGGGTTTTCAAAACAGAAGTATAGGGCTGCTACAAAAGAATGGCATTTACATTTAAGACAGGCTTCAAGAAAGCGAAAGCTAAAGAGAAGCTGAGCTAGTAAAAATGCTGAAGCCCGGAGGGTTTTCTAAGCTGTGTTCAAAGCTAGAGGAATCCGGAGGGCAAGGCCAAGTGACCGAGGAAGACAGGGAAGTTTCGTGAAGGCAGAGGGAAAGCAAAATTTCCAACCTCTTGCGCTTTCACCTTTTCCCGAGAGTGTGAAAGTATGAGGGTTGGATAGGGGAGACGAACGACATTGGGAGCAGGATTTCGTCCCCGAGTAGAAGGAGGAGACTTGTAAGGGCCCCTGTATATTAGTTCATATCTCTAACCCACTAAAGGGATGTACGTACCCCATCTTTTCTGGAAAGTACGCCCCCCACTCTTTATCTTAGATGGGGAATCACAAAAAATGGGAGAGGTGATAGGAAGTGGCGGAAGTTGGTGGT